GGATTAGGACATCTGCCCGGATAGCAGAAGGTGTGGGTTCGAGTCCCACGAAGGTCACTTTTTCTCGATTCCTCTCTCTTTCGTTCTCTTTCGCTGATGTCCCTATAGTTTGAGCTAACAAAATAGTTGAATAAAATTAAGCGACTAGATCAGATCTTTATTCGAAGCAGTTTCTACATGGAAAAATATTCACGTCGCATCAGGATTATGAAAAAAAGTTTGGTCGTTGCTCCAGAATATTCTGGATAGATCTGACGAATAGAATATCGTTCAAAGTACGAGGATCAAGAGAAGAACGACGTTTTGTGACTACTAAGCCTGCAGCAGAGAAAGATCTTTCGACAGCTGCCGATGTAACAGGAATAGAGAAGAGGCGACGTGCGATGAGTGATAAACATGGAAACTTGCTCTCATTGTCCTTCCAAAATGACAATGGATTGGGTTGCTTGTAAATATCATCGATACTCATCCGTAAATATTTGTCTAATTCATCATTCTTCGATGCTGACACTGAGATTATGTCATTTTCACTGTCAATATTAACGTCATCCGGGTCAGCAAACTGATCTTCCATCGACTTGTGCTTCTTCTTTGCTGGCTCGGACAGAAATGTTTGATCATGATAATCGACACCAAGTATATCATCAATTTGTTGCCGAATAAATGAATGCGCCATAGTTTTCCACTGAGCCGAAGCAAATGTTAATTTTCGATATAATGGATGAAGGACTGCCGCAGCTAGATGTTTTTCATCAAAAGAAAACATTGATTTCAGAAGTTGGAACAGACGTTTCCGAAAAAACTCTGTGCCTATAATCGGAAAAATGATGAAGATCTTATATGGTTCAAAGAATAGCAAGTATTCACCTTCGTGTCGATCATTCAGTGTGATTGATTCACCCTCTTTGTCTACGTCTGTCCCATTCAAGTGATGTTCCAATTTATTCATAGCAATGTACGCCATGTGCAATGACGGGCGATTGCCGGTTTGGACTAACAAGGAAACATCTCTGAAAACCGATAAAAGGCAAATCAAATCCTTCAGTCCATCAACATTTATTTTATTAAGCTTGATCGATTGTCTACTGTTTGTTGATTTAGCCAGGATTGATCTGAGATAGTCAATGGGCGACTCAATCGATTCGAGTAAGTTTGACATGGATAACCATCGAACTACCGTGACTTGTTTCAACGCAACGCCACCAGCATCTTGAATTGGTTTATTCAAACCTGTCTAAAGAAAATACTCAATCAAGACGAAACAACTTGTCTCTCGATGTTGTTGCCTTACCAATTTCACGTATTTCACTAATTGTTTACAGGTGGTGATGATATCCAATAATTCTCTAGCCTTGGGTGATAATTCCACCACGGATGTGTTGGCTGCGACGTATTTTGATGGAGACGGTGCAATCGTTTCATCTTCCGATGAGGAAGATTTCGATGAACTCTGGATATCCATTTTTGACCTCTTGTCTTTCGACGAGGGCGTTGCGGCTCGAATTGCTCTCTTTCTTTCTTGCTGATAAAATCCCTTTTTCAAAACGTTGTTGATTCGATGTGCAAAGCATAGTATCACTGGTTGCCCTACCACATAAAGTGTCCTTCTCAGAGACGAAGACGCATTTGATCGACTTACCTTTCAGAGCCTTCAGTATATTCGGACCTCGATCACACGTAAACACTATTTTCTTCTTATCCATGAATGGTAATAATCCATACAAATCCAATTGACAACGAATAGCCTGAAAATTTTGTTCATGGTAACCACGTTCAAGTTGGATTGGCCTACATACTTTCAGAACACTATCACCAGTTTTATCAGCCTCATTATATTCGCAGCAACACAGATCCACAGAGAATAATTCATGATTTTTGTTGACAAAAACCGCGATTAAACCAAGATAGTTGATCTTTCTGTGCTTGTCGCTCCACAGATCAGGGCAGATGCACAAACAGCCAGCGGACGCTTGTTCAATCAAGACTGATCGTAAGAGAATGCGGTATTCTTCAGCCAGTCGATGGATGTTAGCAGATATTGTCGTGGGAGCAGCTAAAAGATCTACACCGTCGATTTTTCCCGAGTATTTTTTACCTGAAAAGTATTTAATAACTTTTTATTCATTGAAGATGAATCCAGTCCAACCTACCAATCTCTATCACCGTCTGTAAGACATTTCTCAGTCCTGGATCGTGCGTGATATTGAATGGGCGCATTGATGAGCAAATCCATTTGGTCAGTTCATCTCGCATTTTCGTGAAATCTTCCTTCGCCAACGTCACCGAACTTGTACTTTTCGATTTCATTAATTTTTCTATGGGTTCTTCCTGATAAGTTTCTGATGCTGACGATACTTTCGGACAATTATGGCGTAACAAATGCTTTGTACTGCCGCTTCCATCAGATTGAAACGTGTATGTGGATTTACACTGGAAACAGCTAGTGAAACCGATAATTCGACTATATGTACCATCTTCGATCAAACGTGCTGGGAATCCGAACATAGACCAAGCTGCTGACTTCGCCTTCTTTTGGTTATTTTCAACGATAATGAATTCTTTTCGACTGTCTTTTCGTTTCAACAGATGCTCAAGCGATGTTGTTGTGAAAGCTTGATCCTTCAGTGTATTAGCTGGAGAAGTATCGATTGGCATGACAGAGGACAAATCAGCTTCTGCCATTTGTGGTATGAACGACAAGCGATAACGAAAATAGTGCCGCAAGAATGGTGCTAGTACTGATAGAATCGAAGGCAAAGAAAGAAAAACTAGCACATCAAATTGCTATTGGTTAAGATTCCAACCAGATATAATACTGAAAAACTTCCTCAACGTGTAGCGACATCCATAGATAACTCTGTTTTCTAAGCTAACGATATCGCTGATCCTTTTAACGAGATCTTATTTGAAGATAAAAACCTATCAGGCCAGGCGGCCTGCCATTTTCGTCTGACCTGCCTGGCCTGCCTGTTACAGGCCAGGCTTTAAAAACGTGGCCTGTGCCTGTCACAGACAGGCAGGCCCAGGCAGGCAGCAGGCTTCGTGGCCTGCTGAGGGCTCTGATCCACATCATTCATCCAATTATCTTCAAAGTATTCCAATAACTGATCCATTGATTGATCAGGTAGATTATCAGCATCTTTGTGTATTTCTTCGAAGCTGCTTTTCGCATGTTCTTTTGGCATCAAAGCCAATGCCATCAACTTTCGACAAAGACCACGAAATGTTTCATCGTCCACATATTGTTGTTGCATTCCGAGAGATTGAATTTGTCGATAAATCGCCTGGGTGAAGTGGTAAAAACATCCCATATGTTTCGAACATGGAAACTGAAAATAAATAGATTAATAATCAAGATCTTTGTCGAGGAGTGCAGCAAATACTCACTTCCGATTTCAACACAGAGAGTAGAGCAGGTTCAAAATCAGTTATTATCAAGTTAGGTGAGAAAGATTTGCCACGTTCAGCTGCGATTTCTTTCAGTTTCATAAGAATCTGTTTATATGTAATCGACTTTCTATTAACCATTAAGCCAAATACACATGGTAAACCTAGAAAAGAATAAAAAATTGCTCGAAAAGACTTCCGTTTCACTTACATGTATCAAAATTGAGCGCGTGAATAATATAAATTTGACAGAAATTAGGCGGCGTTTTGCTAAATGTACCATCCATGAATACTGTGGGTGAGTTGAACAATAAATCAAGTTGATCATCACTTCCAAACAGCAAAATACGTTCACGTCTGACAGGCGATTCATCATATAACAAAAATCATTTGCCATCGATTGTTGATTTATATATGTCAGGAATAGTGAATAAACAGGATTGTGGTAATGTTGGAGATGCTTTCCGGCGAGCTTTAGCAATACCTTGATCTATAAACAAATTGCCAAATCATTTTTTGATAAGAATTTCGAAAAAACTTACAGATTTCAGTGTTAGTTGGAAAGATAGCCAAAGCCGATCGGGTCATGGTTGCTTTTGCAATCTCTTCGTCATAAATTGTCCCAACCGACGTCACTTCGTTGAAAGCACGTTCTTTTATCTTTTGGCGAACTTTTCTCATTTCAATTTGTTCAGGATTTGGTGCATGAGTATGAGCGTCTGTGTCACCACCAGAATATTTGTCGTTTAACGTAGTGTGAACGTACACTCCACAACCTTTCACAACACATACCCAATACTTTGTCTGTCCAGATATCTTGTTACATTTGTATACATAATTATTCATTACCAGCAACGGTTGGTTTTTGTTGGAAGTGATAAATGATAAATTGTTGATAATTTTTTTGGATGTGTTGTTGGTCGCAGGCATAATGATTGTGTACGTGATTTATAGTATCAATAAATTTTCCATTCACTTCGTTTATGTTATATATCTTTTCTTTTCTTGTGCTTTGTTCACATTTGTATAGGGTGCTGTCTTATACATATTGGTTGATGGAGTTTTCCAATACTATATCATCAAAATTGTATTTCGAGATATTCGTTATTCAGTGACATCTCCGTTCAACATTTTCAAACCTTTTTCTCTACTGTTTCATTTGAACTATCTCAGTACCCATACTATTAAAATTTCGATATTTTTATACTTCGACGTTTTACACTTCGATATTTTATCTTTCGACATTTTTACATTTCGACCTTTTGCATGTCGATATTTTTACATTTCGACATTTTTCGTTCGCCATTTTTACACTTCGGCATTTTTACTTTCAACCTTAGTTGGGAGAATCGAGGGAACAACGAATTTTTTCAAAATTTTCACAAGAGTTGTTTCTTTTTCATAAAATTATTCAAATTTCATTTTCAAATCAAAACAAAAAAGATTTATTCAAAGAATATTTATTTTATCAAATCGAATTATTCGATCATTTCCAAAATCTGAAACATAAACATTTCCTTCCAAATCAAATGATAAACCTGCAGGATAATTCAATTGATTTAATTTACTTCCTCTTCCATTTCCACCAACAAGAATTTCACCTTCTCGATCTCCTTCATTCCATCGCATTATTCGATGATTCCAACAATCTACCACATAGGTTTGATTGAATTCATCAACAAATAATTCTTGAGGTCCATTCAATTGATTAAGATTATTTCCTTCACCATTTCCACCAGCAACAATAATTCCTTCTCGAGCATCTTTCAACCATTTCATTACACGATGATTCGAAGAATCTGAAATATAAATTGATTGATCTTTATCAACAAACATGTAAGAAGGAGAGTTTAATTGATTTAGTTGATTTCCTTCTTCATTTCCACCAGCCACTAAAATTCCTTGTGGATTTTCTTTAATCTTTTCTAAATTCCATTTTCTCACTTCATTCTCCTCAATATCAGAAACATAAAGAAATCCATATTGATCGATTGTTAAACCATAACAAGAAATATTTTCAATAAGAATTTCTTGTATTTGATTTCTTGACCATCTCACTACTCGTTTATTTCCATAATCAGTAATGATAATTGAATTATTCTTTTCATCAATAATCATATCTGTTGGACTATTCAATTGATCTAATCTATTTCCCCCAGCAATAATATTTCCTTGTGTTTCATTAAATTTCCATTCAATAATACGATAATTTCCATAATCAGCAATGAAAATAGTTTTATTTTGATCAACAAAGATTTTCGTAGGACAATAAAGTTGATTTGATCGATTTCCGCTTTTATTTCCTCCAGCAACAATCTTTCCTATTTGTTGAAATTTTGTTTCTAAAGAAAGAAAGAAAGAAAACAAATAAGTTTCGTTTTTCAAAGAAAATGATTAAATAAAACTTTGATATTGAATAGAAAAAAGAAAAGTGTTATTATGAAATAAATGATTAATGAACGGAAATAATTTCGAGAAATAAAAATTTGAATAAATCATCTTTAAATAAATTCTTGTGTTGATCTACGAAGCGACGGAATCGGGTTTTTCCGTACGGATTTGTTTTTTCTTTTACTAGAAATAGTTTTTAAACACATATACAGAACAAGACACAACTCAATAGCATTTCAGAGTATTACGATTTGTTTATCAAAAGCTGATGTCAGAGGTGGGACGCAAGTACATGTACTTGTACTTTTTGTACTTTTCAAGTACAACGTAGAAATACTTGTACTTACCTCAAAGTATTTGTACTTCTACTTGTATTTCAGCCTGAGAACTGATAAAGCAAGTAACGCTCGTCGAGAGCGACTCGCTTTGCCCTCGACTGAATTTTTTGAAAATAAACGTCATGTAGTGGAGTATTCTTTTACGATGCTTTTTATATTGAGCGATTGTAGATGATATTCGCATACAAAATAAGGTTAGATTACAACTGACAATATGGATTACACGAGACGCAACTCAGTTTGATGAGGATGAATGTAAAACTTCTTTACCTGTTACTACACATATTTAGAAATCTAACAACACTTGTCGATTCAGACTCTCTTAGTCTTTCATAGATTTCCTCGTCACTCCGCGCTTTTCATGAGAAGTTTTCAAAAAACGTATCAAACAATTCATCTCCCAGTCGGTCATCGGCGTCCCTTCGGTCCGCCACTCCCGACAGCTCAATATAGTGAATTCCGTATACATTCTATTTAAAGGACATGCATCTTTCTCACCGGACACCACGAACAATTAAGCTACTTCAGTACAATCACCTATAATGAAAGTTTTCAGTTGGAAACTGCCTTTCATTTACCAGGTATTATGAGAGAAAATTTGAGCTGGTTCTCATCTGTAGTCTCATATAGATAAATTATCCAAGATATTCAATTACTGATTCGCTGATTCATCCATTCTAGATCTCCAATTTATCAGCTTATGTGAACGATCAGTTTTGTAGTTCACTATAGTTATCCATCGGTTTCGTCGATTTCCTAGTTTTTTTATTCGTTAAGTCTCTGTCAATGTTTATCCTTGATTCAAGCACAAACACATTCTACACATACTATTTGTTGTCATATGACCCTCCTTATAGTCGAGGGAAAAATGGACCAATAGGATTTCAAGATCTATTTGACTATTTTTTTCGCTCTTTTCAAGGAGAATCCCTTGGTTACATGTGCCGATTATATGGTTATCGACTATAAGCTTTCATTCTACTGTAGGTAGCCAAGGATCTTCCCTTCCAAATAGTGAAGAAACAGCTCTCCGAGCTCGGATTGGTCAAAAAATGCGCCAATAGGATTTCAGGACCTATTTTCTTCACTATTTTCAGAGGAAAATCCTTAGTTACCTATACTAGAATGAGAGATCATAGTCGATAGGCATATGATCGGCACAGTAAACCAAGGGATTTTCCTTGAAAATATTGAAGAAACAGCTCTCTGAGCTCGGATTGGGCGAAAAATGGACCAATGGGATTTCAAGATCTATTTGGCTATTTTCTTCGCTCTTGTCAAGAAAAAACCCTTGGTTACCTGTACCGACTATGTGGTAACCGAATACGTTCTTTCATTCTAGTATAGGTAACTAAGGATTTTCCTCTGATAATAGTGAAGAAGAATAGACCCTGAAATCCTATTGGTAAAAAAATGGACCAGTAAGATTTCAGGCCCTGTTTTCTTCGTTTTATTCAAGAACAATCCCTTAGTTAGTTGTACCGACCATATGGTTATTGACTCCAATCTCTCATTCTAGTATACGTAACCAACAATTTTCCTCTGAAAATAGTGAAGGAGAGAGGTCCTGGCATCCGATTGGCGCATTTTTTGACCAATCCGAGCTCGGAGAGCTTTTTCTTCACTATTTGGAGGGGAACACCCCTGGCTACCTATAGTAGAATGAAAGCTCATAGTCGATAACTATATGATGGTTACAGGTAACCAAGGGATTCTCCTTGAAAAGAGCGAAAAAAATAGTCAAATAGATCTTGAAATCCTAGTGGTCCATTTTGTTATCAGTTCTCAGGCTGAAATACAAGTAGAAGTACAAGTACTGTACTTGATGTACTTGTACTTGTTTTCCCTGTGGTACAAGTACATGTACTTGCGTCCCACCTCTGTTTCAGATGTTACATTTGTAACGTATCATTGTGTATGTAAGTTTATTTTCAGCATAGTTTAGATATGTTCACAAAAACAGCAATAGATACTCATACCAAAAGTTAAATAGAAAATGAGATATTTTGATGAGATATCAATACAATCAGGATGATTAAATCAAAAAACAAATCAAGAAGACACGATAGGCAATACCTGATACAATGAGAGAGAAAAAACAATTACTACAATAATTAAATATAATGAAGGAGCTAAAGAAAAGGAGCATGTATGGAAAAACTCTTTAGCCAGTTTTTATGAAAAAAAACTTTTTTTGTAAAAAAATTGATCCTTTAAAAATTTTAAAAAAGCTAAGATCAGATTTAGATACCCCCACCTCAAAAACTGTTTCGTCAAATTTTGCAAAAAAAAATTTTTTTCCAAAAAAATGGTTCTTTGCCTGAAAAAAATTCTTTTTTTGCAAAAAGTTTAAAAAACTAACGTCAGATTCGAAGTCTCCGGATCAAAATACCTCTGGAACTATGTTTTCTCAAAAATCGATTTTCGACGTTTTTTTGACCCTGCGGACACACAAGCAAGCAAGCAGACAATTAATGTTTACTGGACTCTTCACTACGAGAAAGAGAACATGAGCATGTATGTATAACAAGATCTAAATCTATTCCTATTTCTTAATATCTATTTATTTTATAAGTCATACATGACTGTTGAATGTCCATTTATATTATAATTATAGCTAGGCATCTCATGCTTTTTCCGAGTATCCAACAATCCTTCTCTCACCCACTAAGGATATGCTGATGGATTTTTATGGAGCGTACTATTGTCGCATCCCTAGGTTCTTATCTAGCGCATTTTCAGGGTATGCATAAGTCCTCAAGTTTCATACTAAAGGGATACCCATAGATCGTCATGGGACGTTTTTGGAGAATAGACACGTAGTCGTTGAATTACATTTTGTTTCGAAATTCGTAATTTAAATTTCAGGGTGGTAAATAATATCACGTAGGGAGAACAACAGAACGGCAAAGAACCACCTTGTTGTGTGAGTCATGGTCATTACCATTTTTCTTTCGTTTCCATAGAAAAATGCTCGTTTTCAATGTTTGAAAACTTATGAAAAATGATTTTTAATGTGTTTTTGAAAGAAAACTTCGTTGTTTTTAAAAGTTTGATAGACGAAAGTTNAGAGGAGAGTAAGACTATGATCTCCAGTCGGAGTATGATGAATTTTATACGAAATGAAAGCTCGTGAAAAATGGAGTTTAGCGATACTAAATAGTAAGACTTTCAAGAACTTTCGTCTATCAAACTTTTAAAAACAACGAAGTTTTCTTTCAAAAACACATTAAAAATCATTTTTCATAAGTTTTCAAACATTGAAAACGAGCATTTTTCTATGGAAACGAAAGAAAAATGGTAATGACCATGACTCACACAACAAGGTGGTTCTTTGCCGTTCTGTTGTTCTCTCTACGTGATATTAGTTATTTAAAAGAATTTTTCGTTCTCCGTCTTTCTCAAAGTTATAATCGACACAAATCTCAGTGTTTTTTGTGTACTCAAACAGTGAGTACACTACTAGAATCGGTCAGTGTGTCCGGCCGTCCGTTTATCCGATAACTTTCCAAAGATGTGAGCAGTTGACTAGAAATTTTCTTCCACAGGTTCGTCTCATCAATATCTCGGTCGAGTTCGAAGATGAGAAGGATCGGCCAAGAGATGGCTGAGATATCGTAAAAACTCTGAAAAATGACCCCATGGGTCCTGAGGGGGAGTACGGGAATTTTCAAAAAACAACTTTTTTCGCCACATATATAGCTATAACCAGTTTTCCAACAGCAAACAAGTCGTGGAATAATTCTCCATAAAGAAACTTTTACGTCTTAATACCATATACTATGGGAATACCCTTAGGTCCTCAAGTCCTATATAGTGGGGGTAGTCTTAGGTCCTCAAGTCCTATACTATCAGGTTGCCGTTAGACTATGAAGGCGTTTAATACGACTGTTCTCTGTGAACTTTCTGTGATATACTATGACAGTAATCAGGGCTTGTTGTAGGCTTTAACGTGTAGATGGTTTGGGTTCTCGACTGTTAAACGGTGAGAGCATTGTTTAGTTTTGCAAGGAATCCCTCCTGCAATGGTGAAGTTTTGTCGAGACTAGCGTTGTTGGAATATTTCGTTTGGGTTCTTAAGAATCGGCAGCGGGGACTTATCTGTTGTGGCTCATTGTATAATCGTGATATGACAGTTAGAGTGCTCTCTAGCTTTAGTGTCATACACTTTTTAGAGTACACATAACGTTCGGATAAAATCCGAAGTTTCCGCATTTATTCATTTTTTATTTCAAATGGCTGATGCTTATGATATCGAACAACAAACAGTGATTGACAGAATTAAATGTGCATTACTTTCCGAGAAGCTCGCGATGCTGGTGCAACATTTCTAAATAGGCAATGGATTGACGACAAAATTCATCGTACGACTCGATTTGTTACAGAATGGTGAAGAAAATCATGTGACCAATGTTTTGCTGATTATTCAAATGTTGATCCTAAACTCAAGTTAACGATAGCTGTTCAGGACATTATTCGTGAAGCAAGTGATCGCTATACTGACTATTGATTGTACTCAATAAATAATAAGAAAATAAACTATTTTATAACATAGTGTAGACCGAACTTTTTTGATAAACTGATTTTATAAAATTTTATGTCGGTAAAAATCGTAACCTTTGATAAATCAATAGACGAAAGTTCTTGAAAGTCTTACTATTTAGTATCACTAAGCACCATTTTTCACGAGATTTCATTTCGTATAAAATTCATCATATCTCCGACTCAAGATCATTGTGTTACCCCCTAGAATAATATTATTTACCACCCTGTTGAATTGTTTCTACCTCGAAAGATGCTAGACTAGGTCGTATTATCACTGAAACAGAAAACTAATTCTTTGTTCCACAGTCAAGGGTAAAGTGAGTCGCGATGATGATCTACTTGTTATCAATAATATTACCTGATGTGTTTATTGGTGCTGTAGATATACTACTTTGTTGTTTTGTTGTTAAAACAATCGTTGTTGGAATGACAATTATGCCAATGATTATAATAATACTAATACAGATCCACAATATTATTTTCTTAGTAAGAATTTCACGTCTAAAAACACAATTTTCTCTCCGTCAAATTTTTGCTATAAAAGAAAATATACAAATGTAGAAATGATGTTGCATTTGATTGATTTGGATTCGAGGACATGATTAGAAATATATGAAGAATCTAAATGTAATGAAAATACAATTGACAGACGTTTCTTTTTTTCTTTTGATGAAATACAACTCAATCGTGTTTTATATATTTATGAAAAAAAGAAAGAGATTTTTATATTTGTTATTTTCATAGTTCTCCTTCTGTCACATTAAAATAAAATCATGATGAACATTTTCTAGAAAAATCATAAACTAGAGATTGAATTTCTGATGTAAAATGATAATAATTTAATATTATTTTCTCTTAACATTTACAGATGTTCTTGTTTTATTTTTCTATTAAAATAATTTCTTAACGATCTTCATGTAAATTTTGTTTTATTTCGATAAAAAACAAAACATTTCAGACGGCCGATAAAATCATAGATGAAAGAGAGAGAGAACGAATCTCACATAAGACTAAAGAACACAAAAGAAAAAAAGTTAACGGTAACATTTCAAATAAAATATAAATCTAACCATCTGTTATAACGATATATAATGTACAGAACTTCTCAACTATGATGACATACTCGAGATAAAAATTTCTCAACATGCTTTGTAAAAGAATATCGAAGAAAATCTACCGCTTTTTGGCAATGGCCATGATGAAAAGACATCTCTTCACGAGTACAGTCATTGAAATGTGCAGGCGGTGGTAAATTACGATTTTGTGGTTGATATCGTGAAAGTGAAATAGATTTGATTTTTTTGGCAGCAATTAGAGCGTCATACGTGTCGATTTCTCTTGCGTAGAAAAGGTAAAATATTGACGTTCCTTTTTTTGTTGGTACGCGTCTGAAATAATCAAAACCTAATTCTTGTCGAAATTTTCCCGACATGTCAGAATTTAATAGATTTGTATCGTGTAATTGGTACATAACAAGTCGATTTTCCATATTTCCAAAGCAGAGATATCCTGTAAACTAGAAGGAAATATTTACATTAATATATTCTGAATTCAATTAGCAAATAGTAAATAAATTGATGAATACAGTGAACATGTATAGAAATCTGCGACGACTGAGCGCCAAATTAGATGAGATACCATTTACAGTGATTAAAAAACTTCCTATAAGTATAACTCTGTTACATAATTATAAAAGTATTTTCTCGATGATATAGATACATTGGTTGAATCTCCAATTGACAGACTTCAATTCAAGTGTGTTTACGGTAAGTAGCAAAACTTATGTGCTAAACTAAACTTCGATTTTATTAGAATATTTTGCTAAATGACACTAAGAGTCAATACAAACTTGTCTATTCTGTTTTTCTATGTTTAACTCTCTACTAGTTCAGATAACATAGAAGTTGAGCAGTCATCACAAATAATAGAACTTTCGTCGAACTGACTTGAAAATACAACTGAAGTGAATGATTGATACTTGACCGAGTCTTGAGTTTAATAACAACTTGAACTAAGCGCAAAATAAGTAATTTTGTACTTCATTAAAACTCTCTTGATGCTCGCTGATAAACTTGCAGACATTTAAACACTTTCACTATTCTCGATCATGTCACAACGTGAAAATCATTGATGATCATGGAAAAATATTAGCAGTCTAGCTCAACTATGCTCACGTAAGAAATATACTCTCATAGCTATTGTATATGTGGAATACTAGAGAGCATTTATGTTGGCTGATTCTTCTGAATTATAATACTCCACTGATTCAACTGACTGATCATATCGTTACATTAACAATATACATACTAAACTTAAGGAATGCGTATGAAGAATTGAAATAAACAACATTGACTACATCTCGAATAACTGTTTTTCTCAAAACTATCTATACAAAACAGCAACTATCTTCTAAATTGCTTTCGATTATTACAATGACGATACCAGTGCTATTCGATAATACTCAATAAATGACTGAATTATGAAAATTATTTCCTTTGACGGATCATTTTTCCATAACGGATCATTTTTCCACAACGGATCATTTTTCTATAGAAGATTATTTCGCCTAGAATAGAAAACAATCTTAGCAAATAGAATAACACATACATGAGTATTTTCGAAAGAATTAATTCGTTCAAGGATATTGGCACAACCGAAGAAAATCAAAATGGTGAATATTTAGTTGAGAAGATCGAAGTGGTGATGATCGAAGCGAATGAAAGTATACCAGCTCATGCTTGCCTTTAAATAGATGGACAGATGAGCCTTTTTCTCTATCACTCTCTTTTTCTATTTCATCTCTCTCTCTCTTCCTTTCTCTTTCTCTTCTCTTCTCTTCTCTTTCCGATTCGATATTGTCCAATCACTTTTTCCGACCAATCCAGAAATACTTTCTGAGTCTTTTGTTTTCTATCATATTTGTTACTGTAATTAATGCAAATTATCTTAAAAGCAATCTCTGGATCAAATGATACGTCAAACATCAATTATACAGATGTCAATTTGATGTCAATATCAATCGAAGGGGAGTTAAAACTAGTCTTGTAGAAAACCCGGTAAAATGTTTTTGTCAGAGATGTTAGCCGTTTAGTTCTTGGCTGATATAATCTTTGATTGTTCTAAGCGATTTAAACTATCATAGTTTCAATTTAATCCATTGAAAAAAGAGCCATTGCTTTTATATACTCGTTCGATTCCAAACGAACAGAATTTCAGTGTTAAATATCAAATTATTTGTTTCCTTGTAAGCTTTGCTTCCTATCACGGATTACCTTAGTAGATCAATATGGATGTGATGTATGTCAAATAATGTCATTCAAACAATATATAGAATATCACACTTTGAGTGTTACAATTGAAAAATATGAGCATATGTCATGTCCATCCTCGAATGATAGCAGAAGTCTCTTGATTGCTTTTAGTAGCAGAGTTCTCAATTGTTTGTTGTTAAGAAAAAAGATGACAGATGCAAGAATCGCGGATGTGTTTTTTCTCCACGTTCAAAACAGATTTTCTTGAAAAAGTATCATTCGTTAAAAAGAATTGAAAAGCAGAAGGAGTTACTTTTTTATAACTTACGACCGAACAAAATTCATTAAATACAATTGGCATTTCTATAGAAGATTGAAATGGTCAGTATGTTTGTGCCTTCATAGTTATTAGTGAGAAATCCTACCAAGAGCTTTTATTTTCATGAATTGTGTTTTGTTTTGTTTTTATTAGAGCTGGATTTCTTTTGTTCGTTATGTACACAAGAAACGTTTGAAATATACATGTTTTTTGTGTTTTATATTCATGATTGAGACGATACATTATAAACCTGTCAGTGAGAATTGAGGTTAATATCTGGACACAGATTAATCACATGCTGAAAAGTTTAAAAAAGATTCATTAGCAACCTTCTAAAGACTTCATTGCATAAAAATTATTCTTTTCTGAATTGATATATATGATGAAAGGTATAAAATAGAGATGCAGTCCAGGAGTAGTTTTAGCAGAGTTAATTCAAATAATTCCATTGCATTTAATATCTTACTTGTTGTTGTGTATTAAGGAAACATTTTTTATTTTATAACAAGCTGTCTAGTTCATATTGAATAACTAAAACACTTGGTATCATTAATGGCGACAAAAACTTGATAAGAACTATGGAAATTCTTCGATCTTGTACGAAATCTATTGAGATTTTCTGTGATTACTCGAAAAAAAAGCTCAAGTTCTACGAACTAATAGGTGATTGATTTTGAAAAAAACGCTTTTAACTTAATTTTCATCTGTTCATTATATTGATGTATCGTTGACAGAAGCCATTACCGATGAAGTCAATCGATCAACTATGTGTGAGAAAAGAATTGAGTGACAGAATGAAAGCAATTGAATTATTGTACTATTTGTTTGTCACTTATATAAGTACAATAAGATTATGTGAGTGCTTGATAAGGATCATGAGATAAAGCAACACTTTCTATTCAATCCTTTTGTTATTTTTTACCCATTAATTGAGTGAAAAGATCTGTTTCATATCAAATGAACCGTAACGTATTGCCATTGTTTTCTCGAGTATATAAAGAGAGACGAACGAACTATACACAGTTCATTCACTTCATTTGCTGGCTGCTCAGTAGTTTGGATTGTGTATCTTCAGAGTCAACAGACAGCGTTCATATGTCCGTCCTTATTTTTCATCTTCGCAAATTTCGACACAATAAACGAGCTGCAATTCGTTGGAATATCGGTGGCCATGAGCAAAATACTGTAATATCCGGTGCTAACAATTCCTTGCGCACTACAAACCCTGTAGATTCAAATGATGAAACGTTACTTCGCAAATTCGGCTCGCAGCTTGGGAGAATGTTACAAGGTGGTACAGATATAGTAATTTCTCCAGCAAAATGGCTTTCACATATGCAAGATAATTGGTATGTGTTCAGCAGAAGTTTGTATAGAAATCGATTGATTAAAACGAGCCGTTGTGGCACATGAATTCTACTAGTCATTCTTGTCTGATTTTCGGTGGAAAATATTCAATGAGATATAGCATCTTGTAGAGACTTTGCGTTTAGAAATTACACGTACCATAATGTAAGTTTCTTTTCTAATTTTCATTTGAGAGACACTCTTTACAGACCTTTCCAGATATTATTTTCATTCGAAATTCGTTGTTCATTTGAACACATCAGGCTCTATACAATCGATCATTAAAAGGATTTTTTCTTCGTTGCTTTTTGCTATGAATAGAGACAAATAGAAACATGTCATATATTCGTTATCGTGTTGTTAATGGTCGAAAGGAGTTTACGTTTCGAATGGAACTTAATCTCTTGAGAAATCTATTATTTTAGAACATAGGCTTAGAAAACATAGACAATCCCTATTTACAGCTTGTGGTAATCGCGAATAAAAAATAGAACAAAAAAACTTCATGAAGATATTGTTGTGGAACGGGCATGAGAACAACTATCAAGAGATGAGAGTGACTTACGTTTTTCAGAGAGCACTTGTAAATTAAAATAAAGGTTAGAAGTTCCAATGACGATAAAAAAATGCATGAAACAATGAGAATAATGAGCGATGACTGAAGTTCACAATATGCTCTTTGAATATAAATATTCTTAATGATTGTCCTCACTTTAATGACAGGTAGAATAGATCTAATATGCACCAAGTAGCGTTATGATTTTTATTTTTAACATCTATTTTTTGCAATTCATTTTTTATGACTTTTTTTACATAATGATAGGTTATATTATTTAATATTTGGAACAATTTTTATGGTTTGTGTCCTAATTATCTACTGTTGCGTTCGCCAGAAAATAGCAAGATGTACAGATGTCTC